AGTGTCCTCTTTTTTGCTTGTGGAAATATGGTAACCCTATTTAAACAGTAGCACTTCCCAGAAAGCCACCCTTCCCCAGCTCTCTGGGCTGGAATCCTCATGCTGGCTACCACATAAAGGGGAAGATCACTTCCCCAATTTAGTGAAAGCGGAGGGAGACATTCTCAGCTCTATAGAGAGGTCCAACAGATGTTACTTGTAGAAAAAGAAAAGTTGCAGACAGAAGCGTGATACGAGTCCATTTTGCACGCACGCCTTTGCCACTTACGGTGTATTTCAGTGGGATGAGTAGTAGATAGGCCTGCTCTGGGCTAACTAACATACTTCGAACATTTTAAAACAGCAGCACAGAGTCTGGATGGTTAGAGGAATGTTAAAAATAACGGTTAGCAGCTGCCAGACAAGCATCTCAAAGCACGTTACAAACATCAAACTAAGTCTTCTAATCTCCCAGTTAGGTAGGCCACCATCACAATTTTAGAAATGACGAAAACTGAGGCACAGAAAGGGTAAGGTCCCATGCAAGTCCATGACAGCATCAAAAATTTAGGTCTCCTAACTTCCAGGCCTTTGTTTTAGCCATATACCATCATTCTGCTATTAATGGGACAGGGAGTTATTAATCTTTAAGTCAACAATTAAAATTTAAAACAAGAGGTCATGAAAAGTCACCCATTGTTTGGTGGACTACAACAAGCAAGTCAGAAATCCAACTCCTAGAACAGATGCCTATATTACAAAAACTGAGCTCTGTATTTGTTAGTGCCAGAGCAAAGCTAAGGACTAATGAGCCATGAAACATGAACTGGGAGGGACACCAGTAGATAACTATTTAAGTACAGTATTACAGCTGTGTCAGGAAGTTTACGCTGATATTGTCTGTGCTGTACCTGTTCTGTAGACAGGATTTCAGTCTCTAGGGCTAACAAGCTGGCATCTTCTTCAGGATGAAATTCACTTTATAGAAGAGTTCTATGCAGAATGGCTGTTGCATCACCTAATATTTTTTCCTTTAGCAAATAACGGATTCCCAACCCCCCACACTGGAGCACTCCCGCCAGTGGAAATCACACACCACAACTTAACATAAAAGAGTTAGGAAGCAGGATATACTTACACATTTGGAACCCATAAACGGACAGTTTTGTCTCTGGAGCCTGAGGCCACCAGATGGCCAGAAGGTGAAAACTGAACACACATCACTGCATCTTTGTGACCCACAAAGCGATAGGCTCTCATTTGGGGTCTCATACTCCAGATCATCAAGCACGAATCCATAGAGCCACTTGCTAAATTTAGAGGAAAAAGACTCATTTAATATCTTCTCTGAGTACACTGGAACAAATATACACACTGAAGGGATCAGCACAGATTTCAGCCCTTTCAAACACTGGTTCTCTCCACTGAATTAAGACCTTTGTTAACCCTGGGGCACCACTACAATTCTATATTTTATTGGCAATTCAAACCAACCATTCAGAATCACTTATTAATTGAAAGCAGGCATGGCAACCCAAGCTAAGAGTTAGTTCATGTAATTCTATTATTGCACTAAACAAACAAAAAAGTACAAACATTGTAAGAGATATTCCAATAGAAGGCAATACACACATGTGCAGAGCCCCTAAAATTTGAGACTCAGTGTCTCTTCATCGAAAGATTTTTCTCTGTTGGAGAGCAAACAGCAGTCAAGACTTTGCTTGGTTAATTATCCAAATGTAGATACACAAAGCAGACAAGTCCAGCAAGTTAGAGACATATAGAAAAAACACTTGTGACAGTGCTTTGTGCCCCAGGAACCCAGCTTTTCTATGGTCACACAGTTACCAACATATCCTTCTGAGGCACTGCTTCAGATGAATGTTCCCAGCCTTCTCTATGCCACTGACCCTGATGAAAGTGCAGCTTCCCCTACAGCCTGCCATGTTTTATATGTCCGTAGTGCAGTGGACACTTACTGTGATGTATAATGGCACAGATATTCCATGGCAACTTACAGAAAAATATTAGACAACAAACCTCTAAAATGGTGACAATTAAAATATCTCTTCGAACTAATCCTACATTTAAACTACAGAAACTTTGTGGGAAAGGGGTTGATTTTTGTGGGGGGTTTTAAAGCAAAAAAAACCAAAACAAAAAAAAAACCCAGACAACTATGTGGTATAAAAATTTTAGCCTGCCAACAGACAAAAGCATCATCTTTATGTTCCTGTCAGAGCACCAAGTGGGACATATCTCCAGTGAACGTAAAACATGCCTAGAAAGAAAACAGATTAGTTTTTGATACTAGGTTTAGATGCTATAGTATCATAATCACAAGAAGATTTTAATTCATTTCAGTTGTGGCAAAGTACCAAATAGCTTTTGCTGGAAACATCCTTTTATTTCACAGTCATTTCAATACAAAAAAAGAATAGCTCTCTCCTTTCTTGGATAGGATTCAGGATTAACCTAGACCAGTGTTTCTCAAACTGGGGTTGCCACTTGTGTAGGGAAAGCCCCTGGCGGGCCGGGACGGTTTGTTTACCTGCCCCGTCCGCAGGTCCAGCTGATCATAGCTCCCACTGGCCGCAGTTCGCTGCTCCAGGCCAATGGGAGCTACTGGAAGCGGCACGGGCTGAGGGACTTACTGGCCGCCTCTTCCAGCAGCCCCCATTGGCCTGCAGTGGTGAACCGCAGCCAATGGGAGCCGCGATTGGCCGGACCTGCGGACAGGGCAGATAAACAAACCAGCCCGGCTCACCAGGGGCTTTCCCTACACAAGCGGCAACCCCAGTTTGAGAAACACTGACCTAGACCCATTTCAGACAGGATGCTCCATTATTCATGTTCCTTTAAAGGGAAGGAATTCATACATTTCCATTCAGTGGCTTTTTGCCAGCAACATCTTTCCCTAAAAACTTTAGGATTAAAATAAAGAAGGCAGCTAAAAATATGTGGATGGAGGACAGGGCTGAGACTCTAGAGATATTAATTCTATTCCTAAGTATGCTACTGATTCACTGTATGATGAATATAAAGTTCTCACAGATATTAAACTGATAAGAACAGATACTACACTTGGACCACAGCTCAAAGAGCCAGGAAGTTACTTAACTGCAGTACCACAATTTCCCTATCTATGAAATGGGAAAAATAGCACTTCGCTATCTCTGTAAAGCACTCTGAGATATAAGCAGTATTTTGCAGTTTATTATTGGCGAGTCATTAATAGCATTGGGTAGGGTAAACACCCCAGTAAAATGGCATCAAATGAAAGCTCACTTCTTCAGCTTAAAAATATGAAGAATCAAATATAAAGGATGGGAAGTGTACAGGTTGCTTGAATATAGAGTAGCTGACTCAATATACCTGACTCAAATATTTTGAGTCTTCCTGCCTGCATTTTCATTCATAGAAATGCTGTACCCACAGCACTTGCTATGTAGGACTGTAGCACTGCTCTTGCTCTGCAGTTGCTGGCCTGAACCTAAAAAGAAGCAAGAGCAAGGGAAGGGAGACAGGAAACAAAACAAGAACAAAGGAGCCACTGAGAAACAAAAGGGAAACAGGGTAGGAGGGAGTGGTAATTAAGAGAATATGCTTAACTTTGATAGTCCCTAATTTTCAGAGCAAAGGGTTATGTGGGTTACCAGGGTCCTGATAAGGGATACTGAAATATGCTTTCTGACCACCTATTGGACTACTGAATTTCAAGGTGCTCAGCCCTGCTGTATGTGTCTACTGGGCACCTTTGCCATATCATTTCTTTGTTCACCACCTCTGCAACAGACAAAGCAATTCTCTCCTCTACTAAAAAACACAGTGGGCCTCAATGTAAGTAGTAGGCCAATGGATAACTGTCAGTCTCTATTTGGTTCTCAGGAAAGACAACTGATTACAATGCATTGCATTGTATTAATGGACAGTAGAAGGAAGACAAGCCTTGGTTTAAGTCACACCAAGTAAAAGTGAAGTTTTACCATACAGTGGTTTCAGAGTAAAGTGAGGCACACAAATATGCAAGACACAGTGTAACACTCAATGCTCCTTGCGACTTTGTCAGGATAAACATGCACACACTTAAAAATGCATCCGAAGAAGTGGGCTGTAGTCCACGAAAGCTTATGCTCTAATAAATTTGTTAGTCTCTAAGGTGCCACAAGTACTCCTGTTCTTCTTTTTGCGGATACAGACTAACACGGCTGTTACTCTGACACTTAAAAATGCCATTTCTAGAATTTAAGCAAAAATGTGGGCCTTTCAGCCTTGAAAATAACTTTTTAGTGATCTACAAGTGATTATTTCTGAGCCTGTTTTGTAAATCAGCAGCTCTTAATTACATGGAAAAAAGAAGAGACTTGTCAGGTGACTGTCAGAACATAAAAAGATAATTTACCCAATTGCTTCTTATTGAGACTGAAATCCACACTAGTGATGGCATCTCGATGGCCTTTAAAGTGTTTCTCCAGAGATGGGTCCTCCTGAAAGGCAATAAAATTTAAAGAATATAGGCTAATGTTAATAGAATATCAGGGTTGGAAGGGACTTCAGGAGATCATCTAGTCCAACCCCCTGCTCAAAGCAGGACCAATCCCCAGACAAATTTTTGCCTCAGTTCCCTAAACAGCCCCCTCAAGGGCTGAACTCACAACCCTGGGTTTAGTAGGTTAATGCTGAAACCACTGAGTTATTAATAGTGACCTTAGCACAATAAAAAAATTACATATTTTTATGACAAGGCTTGGCAATTTCCCCACCCTAAAATATTCAAGGCTAGATTTCCAAAAAGAATAGCCCAGCACTGGGTGATAAAACAGTATGCCTGCAACTACTTGTTTAATTATGCATATAATTACAGAAACAGTACATGCAGCTAGTCAGTTGCACATCAAAGGAAAGGTGTGGGGGGGGGGAAGGACAAAGAAGCAGCAGAACAGAAAGATCAGAAATAGCAGCAGGGTAGCTAGAACATCATTATCTCACATCATTTGTATGCTTAGTGAGATTTGTGAGACACCAGACATTGGTGGCCAACTACCAAAGTATATATATATATATATATATATATATATATATATATATATATATTAGCCCACTAGGCTACAAAGCAATAAACCTAGTTGCAAAAGACACTTCCAAAAAGTGCGGGTGATTTCACTAAGAATTCATAAAAATAGTTTTGGTTTTTAAAACGCCAGCAGGGAAATCCTCACGGATCCACTTACTGCACGTCTCCCTCCCTGTGCCTAACCCAATCGGCCCCTAGCTCAGAAAGGAAAGTGTTAGCGCTCCTTTGCAAACGGATTGGGGGCTGCATCGACCACCCCACAAGGCCACACAGCAAAACTCAAAGGCCCTGTCCCGCAGCTCGGCCAGGCTTCAGGATCCTGCAGGGAAGTACCCGGCAAAGCCCCCCCCCGGAGAACGGCCACCACCTACGGGGGGGGAGGGGGAGCAGAGCCGCGGGGCGGACGGGCTCTGCGGTTAGCAATGACTTTTTGCATAGTAACAGGGCTGCAACACCCCTCCCTTAGCCCCGGCCCCACCCCGCCCCAGCCCCGGCAAACTTAGCCCCCGGCCCCACTCCCAGCGCCCCAGCCCCTACCAGGCCGGCGGCGGCGGCCATGGCGTGCGGCGGGAGCTGCCGGGCCTGTCGCTCTGGTCGCGGCGCAGGTTCAGTTTCCGCGCCTCCCGGGCCGCCTTAGTAACGGCGTCAGGCCCTTAAAGGGAAGGCCGGGCCGGGCATCGCCTCCGACAGGAAAAGCGGCCCCGGGCTCGCTTGGCGTCATGCCGGGGCGGGGAACGTGGGCGCGCGCGCGCTCCTGCTGGGTGCGTGCACACTCGTTCTTACACACTCAGTTCCTTCAGCTGTGCACACTTCTGGTGTCTGACACACATACCGTTCACATGTACACATTCATACACACACACTTCACATGTGCACACATGCAATTCACACATTACTCCTTAGGCATTCTATACCAAAAAATAAAAATTCTGCACCAAGAAATTAAAAATTCTGGGCACAATATTTTAAAATTCTGCAAGTTTTATTTGTCAATAAATAAATGCAGATGTTCCAGCATGGCAGTGGGGAGCACAGGCCACTGGCTGCATGAAGGTGGGAGCTCAGCCTGCAGACACCCCATCCTGGGGACATAGACTCATTGGTGAGGCTGCATCCGACCTTGACACGGCACAAGGCCTGGGCCTGCCCCTCTGTGCCAGGCGCACCAGGTGTGGGGCAGGCAGGATCCAAATGTGGAGGGGCTCAGTGTGGGGTGAAAGGATTCTGTGTGGGACAATCTGAGCGCAAGCAGCTCAGTGGGGAGGTTAGGCAGGTTGCCAACTTTCTAATTGAACAAAACCAACACCCTAGTCCCACCCCTTCCCTGAGGCCATGCTTCTTGTCCCACTCCTTCCCCAAGACCATGCCCCCCATTCACTACATTCCCCCTCCCTCCATGGCTCACTCTTCCCCACCCTCACTCACTTTCACTGGGCTGGGGTGGGGGTTGGGATGTGGGAGGGGACTCCGGGCTGGGGCAGGAGGTTGGGGTGAGGAGGGGGTGAGGGCTCCATCTGGGGGTGCAGTTCCTGGAGTGGGGCCAGGGATAAGGGGCTTGGGGTGCAGCAGGGAGATCCAGGCTGGGTGTGGGGCAGAGAGGTTCAGGGTGTGGGAGGGGTCTCTGGGTTGGGGCACGGGGTTGGGGTGCAGGGGAAGGTGAGGCTCTGTACTGGGGTGCAGGCTCTGGAGTGGGGCTGGGGATGAGGGGTTTGGGGTGCAGAAGGGGGTTCTGGGTTGGGGGGCTCAGGGCTGGGGCAGGGGTTTGGTGTTGAGGCACGGGCTTACCTCCAGCGGCTCCTGGTCAGCAGCACAGTGGAGGAGCTAAGGCAGGCTTCCTGCCTGTCCTGACTCCACGCTGTGCCCCGGAAGCGGCCAGCAGGTCCAGCTCCTAGGCGGAGGTGCAGCAGGCGGCTCTGCATGCTGCTCTTGCCCACAGACACTGCCCCCATAGCTCCCATTGGCCACGGTTCCTGGCCAATGGGAGTGTGGAGCCGGTGCTCGGGGCGGGGGCAGCGCACGGAGCTCCATGGCCCCCCCGCCTAGGAGCCGGACCTGCTGGCCGCTTTCAGGGCACAGCGCGGTGCCAGGACAGGTAGGGACTAGCCTGCCTTAGCCCCGCAACACCACCGACCGGACTTTTAATGGCACATGCACATTTGCACACACACACCAGGGCCATTTCAGCTGGTGCTTCCCTCTAACTGTGCTCCCAATTGCCACTGCCTCCCAATTCCCTCGCCTGCATGCCATGCTGTGGGCTGCCCCTACCCTGGTCTAGCTCTGCAACAGGCAGGGAGCTCTTAGCCCCTGTGTGGGGACCCAAAAGCCTTCAGCTCCCCAGCATGCAAGAAATCACGCTTACTAACCTGAAGGGACCACTTCTGGTAGCAGGAGGACAATTCACATCTCATCTACATGAGGGATGTTTCCTAGTTATAGCCACCAATGCAGCTGAAATAATAGCATCTAGGTCTGATATAGCACTTTTCATCTGCAGCTCTCAAAGGAAACCCCTAGAGTTGACAGATAAACCCTACAACCTGGGATTTACACTGGTGCCATTTACCCTGGTTTCGCTCACGGCTACTGCATGGATGCAAATCATGACTTAGAATGGTTTTGCATGTCGGCGCTAGAGGTTTGCAGTGATGTGAATACACCAGGGTCTGCTCACCATTGGATGAAATCCCCAAGTAGAGCTAGCTGTCAATTTGTTGGAAAATTTCAATTTACCTGCAAATTTTTGATTTTCCATCTTAAAAATCCAAAATGATGGAGGCTGACTGCCAGCCAAGAAGGTCTTGCCAATTTCACTTTCTGCAAGCAGGAAGAAAGTGAAATTGACAAGAAGCCTCCAGGAGAACAACTGCAAAGGCAACAAATTCTTTTCTGAGAGAACCCAAATGGATTTTTTCTGGAAATTTTGTCATTTTTGACATTTGCCCTGATTCAGGATGAATATTTTTTCAAAAACATAATTTTTTTTATGGGACGGTATTTTCATTTTCTGGCCAGCTGTATCCCCAGTGTCAGAAAAGTCTTCAGATTCCAGCCCCTGAAGCCCTGGGTCTCTCTGCTGAGATTGCCTAGAGAAGGCTCCAATGGTGGTGTTGGCTTTAGTGAGATAGACACTTTTCCACCAGACAGCCTCCCCCAGTAACATTCAATCACTAGTAATTTTAGCCAAAACCAATTCTCTAGGGATGAAAAGCTCTATACCGCATTGCCAATCCAATGGGCCATCCAGATTGCCATTTTGTTTTGGAAATCATCAGCCAGACCTGATTAGGACAGCCATCTGTGTCATTTTGAGGGCAGAGATACAGATTCACATTACTAGATGCTGCCACGCAGCTGAGCTCAAAAAGCTCCCAGATCATTAGCTTTGGGGGGAAAAATCTGCATTGCTTCAAGAACGGAGCTTCAGCCAGTATTTCATGTGTCTAAAGAGTGTGGTTCATGAAGCCAGATCTGCAAGCACTTACTAAGCAGCAGAGATAGTGCTTACCACTGCGAGTAACTTTATTGATGTCAGCACTTACACATAAGCATTTTTGCAGGGTCCGTCCCCTATTATAGTTTAAAACTGTTCTATGAAGCAAGGAGTGTGTCTGCCTCAGTGTTCTGTTTACACTGATGATGCTCCATAATAATATTATTGTCATGTATTTCTTGTACATGGTAGGGTGCAGGTCAGGCTCTTGTACCAGATATGCACTGATTACAGGGCTTCCTTTGTAGAGAGATACATCAGATACTCCTGGGGAAATTCTGCACCACTGTGCGCATGCATAATTAATAAGTTGTGCATACTTTTAATTTTTTGTTGCTGCAATTCCACATTTTGCCCACCAGATGGCACTGTAGTGATAGAACAGAGCAGCAGCTCCTGGCCAGCTAGGGAAGAGAAAGAGCCTGCATTCTTCACAGTGCTTGTCAGGCCAGGTCAGGAGACAGGGGCTATGGGGAGACAGACAGTGTGGGGCTGCTGGTGGGAGGTTACAGACAGGGGTTCATAAGGGCTAGTTGGGGAGGACAGACTGGGGCAGAGGCTGAATGGGAGTGGAGGCACAGGGTCACAGGAGGGAGGGAGGTGCAAGGCCAGATGGGGAGGGGATGCAGAGCTACTTAGGGACAGGGGGTGGCTGAGTGGGGGCACAGGGACACATGGGGGCAGGGGTGGGGGTGCAGGGCCACACAGGGACAGAGCAGTGGCTGAGTAGGGACACAGAGACACATGGGACAGGGGGAGGGGGTGCAGGGCCATATAGGGATGGGGAGTGTCTGAGTGAGGGTGCAGGGACACGAGGACAGGGGGTGTAAAGACACATGGGGGTTCAGGGACACATGGAGACAGGGGCAGATGTGCCTGACTGAATGGGAGAGGCTAGGGGTCAGCCAGGGTCTGCATGGGGGAAGCTACCTAACAATCCCTCCATGCACCCCCTGCAAAAAACCTGTTCCATACTTTTCCCACCTATACCCAACAACCCTCCAAGTTCACACCCAGGCTCCTTCCCAGCAATCCCTCTCCCTCAGCTCCTTCATTACCCAACTCCCCTAAGCCCTTGCACTGCTTCTGAGGGGTGTGGGAAATACAGTTCTGTATTGTAGTTTACTGTATATACTTGTTCATAAGCCAAATTTTTTTAGTAAAAAAGGGAAGCATCAGAGAAGGGGGTCGGCTTATGAACAGGTATAGAGAGGGAGAGGTGGAACCAGTGGTGAGATGGAGCCGGTTCGCAAGAACCGGTTGTTAAATTTAGACGCCAGTGTAGAACCGGTTCCTAAAGGGGCAGGCAGGTGAGCAAACTCCGGCCCGCGGGACCGTCCTGCCCGGCCCGCCTGAGCTTCCAGCTGGGGAGGCTCCCCTGGCCCCTCGCCCGCTTCCCTCCCCCTTGCAGAGCCCCAGCGTGCCGCACTGCCGGCACCAGTGCTCTGGGCAGCTCTGCAACTCCTGCCGCTTTGAGCGGCATGGTAAGGGGGTGGGGCTGTGAGCTCCAGCGGCTGCGCGGCATCCTTACACAGCAGCATGGTAAGGGGGCTCGGCCGGGGTTGGGAAGAGGGGTTGGATAAGGGGCAGGGAGCGGTTGGAGGGGGCAGAGGCTCTGGTGGGGGGCAGTCAGGGGACGGGGAACGGGGGGGGATGGGTAGGCGTGGGAGTTCTGGGGGTCTGTCGGGGTGGTGGTGGATGGGGTCAGGGCAGTCAGGGGACAGGGAGCGGGGCGAGTTGGGTAGGGGGTGGGGTCCTGGGGGACAGTTAGGGTGGGAGGTCTCGGGAAGGGGTTGTCAGGGGACAAGGAGCGGGGGGAGTTGAGGGCCGTTGATGGGTTGCGGGTTCTGAGGGGGGCAGGACCTGGGTTGGGGTCGGATGGGTGTGGGGGGGAGACAGGCACGTGGGGCTTGTACTCACTGCATGGTTCCCTACCAGGTCTTTGGTGGCACTTCAGCGGCAGTGCGGGGGGTCTTCACTCGCTCCGGGTGAAGTACCTGCCGCCAAAATGCTGCCGAAAACCCGGAGCAAGTGAAGACACACACACACACCCGCCACCAAAGTGCCGCCGAGGATTCGGTAGGGAACCGGTTCTTAGGATTTTGGGAGCTCATCACTGGGTGGGACACAGCCCCTCCCCCTAACAGAGGAGGCAAGGAGAGGCAGCACAGCCAGCAGAGCCAAAAGGGAAGAGGCAGGACCAGAGTCTCTCCGCTTCTGGCCATGCTGCTCTCCCCCCAGACTCCAA